CGGCGCCGCACAATGCCCCCCCCGTGCTGGCAGGTGGCCGCGTGGTAGCCATCTTCGTCGATGGGGCGCCTGGCAGCGGACCCCGGCGCCCGACTCAGTGCAGCGCGTCGTAGAGGCCCGCGCGAGCTCGTCGTTGGAACATTCTGGTCGCGGCAGCAACAGGCGGCAGCGGGTACCTGTGGCCCACTCTACGTCTTCCAGCGCGCACGCTGCCTCTGCGGGGCACTGCAGGCACGCCCCGGACCCCGGCCCGCCGGCGAACTGAAGGACAGCCTGATTGCGTAGGCACACTCGCTGCCGGGAGGCAGACAAGGTAGTCTTATGCACCGTCGCAACCATCGTCTTCTGCCTCGTCGGCCAGCCAAGCGCCGCGGCGAGCGGGGCGGCGGGGGAGGGTTCCGCGCCCTGGCGCGCCAGTTCGGCGCGCGCCTCCGCCAGCGTCGCTGCGTTCCGGGGGGGGGCCTCCAGCGCGTCCGCGAGCGAAGCGGCGCCCACGTCGCGGCGCACCTCGTCGGCAGCGTGCGTCCAGGCGGCCCAGAAAGCCGCGGCGCGCCTCGCGGTCGCCCACTGGGCCCCCTCGCCGCCAAGCTTGCGCGGGGCGCCCAGCAGCTCGCAGGCCTCGGGCCCCAGAGGGCGGTCCAGCAGCTGCTCCCAGCAAGCCCTCAGCGCCGCGTCGTAGTTGAAGGCCTCGCCGGGCGACGCCAGCGCAAGCTGGAGGTAGCGTTGGCTGGCGTTGCCCGCGTAGGTCGTCAAGAGCGCCGCCCTCGCCTGCTTAGAGAGGCTTTCCTGGAGCTCCTGGAGGCGAGCGAAGAGCTGCTGCAGGCGCGTCGTTGCCTTGTCAAGTCCACAGCCCTCCCCGCCGAGGGCGAGCGCCGCGTCGTCGGCGTCCCCGGGCGCCCGGAGCTTCGCGCCGAGCACCGGCAGCGCGGGCGCGAAGTGGCCCGCCAGCTCGCGCGGGACGGCCTGCGCCCCGGCCGGTGACCAGACTCGTGTTTTCCGAGCGTCGAGTTCAAGCCCAAGCGGAGCAAGCACCCTGTTCAGGCCAGCCAGCGCGAGCACCCCGATCTCGAGGTCCGCTCTGACCACGAGGTACGTGTCGCCCAGGTAGGAGAAAAGCCTGGCGCGCGGGTCCTGCTGCTGAAGCTCGCCCAAGAGCTGCCCCAGGGCTTGTCGCTGGCCAACGGCGAAGCCGGCGGGGGACAGCGGGCCCCCTCCTGGTCGAACCCCCGGCGGCTGCGGACATTCTGGAACTGCCCGTTGGCCCCCCGCCAGCAATGCTCGGCCGGCTCCGCGCACCGCGCCCGCAAGACTTCTGCCACCTCGGGGGCCGCCGCCGCCATTGCCTGGAACGCGGGCCCCCGCCTCATTCTTTGAAACGCGGCCTTCACGTCCACCTTGATAAACAAGGCATCTGGCCGCGTCGACCTCCGCCAAAGCTTGCAGGTGCTCCACCAGCAGGGTCGCCCCGCCCTTCCGCCCGACCCCGTGCTGGTGCCCGCCCGCCGCGTCGGCAAGCTGAGTCTTCCGCGCTCTGGCCAGCGCCCGCAGTCCGAGGCGGCGCAACCAGGAGAGGTCGACCCCCCCCGCCCCTCTTGTCGAGCGCCACGAGCTCGCCGGACCGGAGAGCCCGCAGAACGTCCGGCGGGAGCTCGCCGAAAGCGACCCGCGCGATCACCCGGGAGAGCAACCGCCGAATCTCTCCGCTGTCGGCGGCGGCGGCAAGGTGCTCCAGCCGCGTTCCCCGCAGGCCTGGCGCTGCAAGCCGGGGGGGTCCTCCGCAGCAGCTGGCGCACCTCGTCCTCCACCTGCTCCCGGAGCTCCGGGCTGGGCGGCGCGCGCTGCGGGGGTGGCGGCGGCCGCGGCTGCTCCTCTGCAGGGGCGCGCTCGTCCAGCGGGAAACTCGCCCGCAGCTGGTCCAGCGTCGCGTCTGTGCGCGGCGCGAGCTCAGCCCCGACCGTGGCGGCCAGGGCGCGGCTTTCTTCGCCAGCAGCAGCCAGCGTGTGCACGCGACCCCCCCTCTGCTTAGCGGTTGTGCGCCTAGAAGGAGCCCGGGGCGCCCAGCTGCCCCCCTTGGCGGAGGCCCACAGGGGCGCCCGCTGCCCCCCCCACCACAAGGCGAGCCGCTCTTCCAGCAGTTCTGCACACGTCGGGCCGCTGCCGCTCGGCCGGGAGAGGACCATCATGTCAAACAGTAAGAGCAACTTCCACTCCGCGGACGCCTCTCCCTGGCGGCACGCGTCTTCTAGCACTCTCAAAGCCTCGTGGCGGGCGTGGGCCACGGCCCCGCGGAACCTGTCAGGCACCTGCACGAAAGTGGACACTCCTGTCCTGAGCGCGGCCTCCCAAAACAAGTTCTGCCACCACCCGCGCTCTGGCAGCAACTGTTCCTCCCAGCTTGGGCGTTTGACTGGTATCCCGCCGTGGTCAGGGTCGCTCCACCCCTGAGCTGCGTGGCCAGGATGCTTGCCGCCAGCGTCGCGGTCGGCAGCTGCGGTGGCCAGCGCGCTCCGCGCCTCCAGGGCGTGCACGGCCTCCGCGCGACCGACTGGGCGGATTTCGTCCTCGAAGCCCACTTTGCGAGCCATGCACCCAACGCACATCCAGCTGCACCGCTGCCGACTGTCCCACGAGCATAGGCGCATCTCCCGCGACGCGAACGGGACTGCGCACGCTTTACATGCGGCTGGGCGTTTGGACGCCGGCTGCAGGTCCAGCGCCCGCTCTCCGGCGGCGCGTCGCCGCTGTCCTCTTCCTCCTGCTCCTCCTGGGTCGCGTGCACCTGCTGCTGCTGCTGCTGCTGCTGCTGCTGCTGCTGCTGCTGCTGCTGCTGCTGTTGCTGCTGCTGCTGCTGCTGCTGCTGCTGCTGCTGCTTCTGCTGCCGCTGCTGCTGCTGCTCCCTGCACTCCCTCTGTGGCGTCGGCAGGAGGCCGTGGCGGGGCAGCAGGCCCTGGCCAGGGCGCCGCCTCATCGCCCAGCTCGACGTCGTCGCCCTCTCCCTCCTCCATCTGCCCCTCCTCCTCCTCCTCTGACTCCTCTTCTGGTGGGGGGAGGTGGGAGACGGGCTGGCTAGCCTCCCCCTCCCCCCCAAACAGTGGCGCGGGGAGGCGGGCTGGTTAGCCTCCCCGCAGGCTGCGGCCCCGCCGATGGCACGGCGCGCGGCCACGGCCGAGGGCAGGGGGCCCGCGGCCCGCCCCCCCCCGCCCCCTTCGATCTTCGAACCTCCTCCTCCTCCTCCTCCTCCTCCTCCTCCTCCTCCTCCTCCTCCTCCTCCTCCTCCTCCTCCTCCCCCTCCTCCTCCTCCTCCTCGATCCTCCTCCGAAGTCCTCGACCCCCCTCCCCATCCGCCTCCTCGTCGCGCGGGGGGATCCCAGGCCAGAGCCCGGCAGCTCGCCAGAGAGGGGCGCGGCTGGCTGCGCGCGCCCCGGCGCGAGCGGCAGCCGCCACGGGCCCCCGGAGCGCGCCAGGTCAGCCCCTCTCCGAGATGCGCCCCCAACTGCCCGACCGCCCCAGCCTCCAATTGGCTCTGCGCGCTGGCGCGCCTCTCGGACAGCCCCGGGCGCAGGCCTTCCAGCCCCGCGGTGCTCTCCTCGCGCCACGAGGGCACGTCCTGGCGCTGGCCCCGGCGCCGCACGAGCTGCTGCCCGCCCCGCAGAGCTCCTCCAGCTCCTGCCGCGCGCCCTCGATGTCCCGCACCGCCGCCGACTGCAGCGAGTCGATGCGCCTGCCGAGCGCATGCTGGGCGCCCCCGCACGCGGCCTGGAGCCCCTGGACGCGAGAACCGCACTCGTCGACGCGCTTGGCGAGCGCCGCGTGCGCCTCGCGCAGCCCTTGCGCGGGCTCCTGGCGCGCAGGCTCCAACTCCCTCGCCGCGCGGAGGTCCTCGACCTGAGACTCGATGGCGGATGCGAGGTCTCGCTGAAGTCCATCCAGTCTGACCATGTGGGGCTCGATATCCCTATCCAGGGCCCGGCAGCTAGACTGGACCTCGTCCGCCAGGTCGGCGTGCCAACACCCAAGCCTCGCCTCCAGCTTTTGCACCCCGAACACGAGGTCCAGCATCTCCTACCTCGTGGCCGCTATCGTCTAGCAGATGCCGGCGATTTCCTCGCTGCGCTGCTGCTGCCGCCGGAAGTCCTCCGCCTGCAGCCGCCGCAGCTCGTCGATGGCGACGCGCCGCGCTGCCTGCCCGCCTCGTCGGCCTGCAGTCCCTGGAATTCTTCCTGCGTGGCCTCGAGCTCACGGAGCCTGGCGCGGACGGAGTCGCCGTCCTGCTCCACGGTGCGCTGCAGCTCCTTGACGCTGCAGGCCACGCGCTCCACCGTGCCGAGCGCCTCCGAGCGGGCGCGGCTGGAGGAGGCGCGCTCGCGTTCCCCAGACAGCCCATCCACGATGTCCATCAGCCGCTCATGGGACGCAGCCATGCCACGAACCTGGTTCTCCAGCTGATGCCTGGACGCCTCGCCGCGCCTCAACGCCACCTGCGCGGTGGCCGATGCCGCCTGCGCCGCCTGGACGGCGGCAGCGGCGCCATGGCTGTGGGCTTCGGCCGCCAGGCCAGCAAGCTCGTTTTCGCGGAGGCTCCAGGAAACCTGCTCCACGCGGGTGTCCACCAAGCACTCGATCTGGACCCAGGCACACGCGTCCGCCGGGGGCGCCAGCCCAGCGGCACCAACGTGGGGGCTGACCGGGTGCACCAACAGGCGCTCCTGCGGATTCGCCACCCGTTCTGCCAGCGCGCGTCCGCGCATCGCCTACAGCTGCATGGCCTGGGGCGGGCGCGGCGGCCCATGCACGGGGCCCCTCCGCTGGTAGGAGGACTTCCCGCGCTCCGGGAGCCAAAATGGTTGCGGATGGAAGCAGAGGGGGGGGGGGGGGGCACACCATTTGCCCTGGAGGGTGGGCGCGGCTGAACGTCGAGCAGAAAATCTGGGGGAAGGGAGGGGAGAAGGGAGAGGAGCAGGAAAAAACGGCAACGGAAATCGCAAAGGGGGGAGGCGCACCGTCCGACCCCGACGGCGTTGGCTTCGACGACCCGCTAGATAATGTGGACTGTCGGGGCTGCTGGCGCAGCTTGTCGGGGTCGTTGGCCCCGATGACGCAGACGGCGTCCTTGGGGCCCAAGCTGGTGGACATGATCCCAGCGCCTACCGCCGCGACGGGGTCCACAGGGACTGAGCAAGTAGAATGGGGAATGAGAGGAAGGAGGATGGGAAGAGGAGGAGGAGGAGGAGGAGGAGGAGGAGAATGATGAGCGCACGTCCAACGGGCGCGCCGCGGATCACTACTATGTCAGCCTAAGGTTGCGTATTGAAAGTTGGAGGTTACAGTTGCTGGGCAAATGATGGGATTGTACAAGCTTGCCACGAGGTATATGGAAGGTCGTGCAGGCCAGTGCCACAAGATCATGAGCTATATTCGCAGACGACAAATTGGGAGAGAGCGCGCCCACAGGGCCCGAGCAAAGGGGGGGGGGGCTGGCTTAAGCTACCCCCCCCTCCTTGAAGCCGCCCTTGTTGGAAGCACCCCCCCCTTTTTTTTGCAGGGGGGGGGGCTTACAGCTACCCCCCCCTCCCCCCTTGGGCCCTCCCCGGAAGCTACCCCCCCCCCCCCTTTCCAAAGGGGGGGGGTGCTTAAGCTACCCCCCCCCTCCCTTGGCGCTGCCCTGCTGGAAGCTACCCCCCCCTCCCCCCTTTCGTGCAAAGGGGGGGGGGTGCTTGGAAGCTACCCCCCCCTCCCCCCCTTTGGCCGCCCGGAAGCTACCCCCCCACCCCCTTTCCAAGGGGGGGGGTGGGCTTAAGCTACCCCCGCCCTCCCTTGGAGCCGCCCTGCTGGAAGCTCCCCCCCCCTCCCCCCCTTTGTGCCAAAGGGGGGGGGGCTTGGAAGCCCCCCCCCTTCCCTCCTTTGGCCGCCCAGCCCCCGGAGCCTCCACGATCCACGATCGAGGAACAATCCACGATCGAGGATGGACGATCGAGGATGGACGATCCAAAATGAACAATCCACGATCGAGGATGGACGATCGACGATCAACGATCGACGATCGAAAATCCCAATCGAATCGCTTGCAATCGATTGCACTCCATTCCACTGCAATCCCCCTCCCCACCTCCCTCCGCTCCCTCCCCTCCCTCCCCACCCTTCGTTCCATCTCCTCCCTCCCCTCCCTCTCCTCCCCTCCCTCCCTTCCGTCCTGTCCCTCCCCTGCAATCCAATCGATTGAATCGATTGCAATTCAACCGATTGCAATCCAATCGATTGCAATCCAATGGATTGCAATCAATTCGTTTGCAATCCAATGGATTGCAATCGATTGCAACGCAAGTGTATTCAACTCGTCCCGTGCCAACGCCCGGGAACGAAAAATTACCCTGGCGACGTACCCAACCCCTGCGCAAACGCGGGGCGCAAATAGTTTAGGACACTGTATAAGGGGGGCGATGACGGAGCGAGGGTTACATATGTCTGCAGACGGAATTCGGGAGACTCGCAGGACACTGGCTTCCGGACAAAGACTAGATAAAGCTGATTAGTGCAATCCCTGAGCAACCCTAGCCACTTCGAAAGCGGGGATCTCAGATCGCAGCCCCCCAGGGATGGCGAGGTCTAATGTGGGTCCGCGCGTGACGTCACTGTGCTGGGCCCCCCAGCAGGCCTCGAAAGTGGCGACAGTTTCACAGATCGCAGCCCCCCAGGGATGGCGAGGTCTAATTTGGGTCGCGCGTGGCGTCACTGTGCTGGGCCCCCCAGCAGGCCTCGAAAGTGGCGACAGCTTTACAGTACGATCGCAGCTCCCCCAGGGATGGCGAGGTCCAATTTGTGGTGTGGCGTCACTGTGCTGGGCCCCCCAGCAGCCTCGAAAGTGCGATAGTTTCACAGATCGCAGCCCCCAGGGATGGCGAGGTCTAATTTGGGTCCGCCGTGGCGTCACTGTGCTGGGCCCCCCAGCAGGCCTCGAAAGTGGCGACAGTTCCACAGATCGCAGCCCCCCAGGGATGGCGAGGTCTAATTTGGGTCCGCGTGGCGTCACTGTGCTGGGCCCCCCAGCAGGCCTCGAAAGTGGCGACAGTTCACAGATCGCAGCCCCCCAGGGATGGCGAGGTCTAATTTGGGTCCGCCCGTGGCGTCACTGTGCTGGGCCCCCCAGCAGGCCTCGAAAGTGGCGACAGTTTCACAGATCGCAGCCCCCCAGGGATGGCGAGGTCTAATTTGAATCTGCGTGTGGCGTCACTGTGCTGGGCCCCCCAGCAGGCCTCGAAAGTGGCGACAGTTTCACAGATCGCAGCCCCCCAGGGATGGCGAGGTCTAATTTGGGTCCGCCCGTGGCGTCACTGTGCTGGGCCCCCCAGCAAGCCTCGAAAGTGGCGACAGTTTCACAGATCGCAGCCCCCCGCAGGCAAGACAGGAGGAGGCAAGAGGGAGACGGGACGGGAAGGAGGAAGTGGAGACCACACTGCTCTATTCAAAACGTAAACCAAGGAGGGTTGGGAAAAATACGATTCCCCCCCGAAAGTTGCACGAAGTGTATTTCGGAGAACGCCAGCCCGTCGGGTTTGGCAGTGTTCGTGTAAGACGGCGGCCAGCTGGGGGAGGCGGAGGCGGAGGAAGGGGCGTGGGAGGAGGTTTGAGGGGAGGCGGAGGAGGAGG